CTGTCTACTGCTCCACTCTGGGGTCCCCCCTGCTCTGTGCATATGACCTCCTGTTAAGAGGTTGGCCGACAAGCTCTTTGATCCAGGATGGGCAAGTCTGTTGTGATGAAAACTGGTTTTGCTTTTGGAATGAAATCGTCACTCACATAGCTGCAGTTTTCCTAAACATTAAACAATGTGTTAGTGTTTAGGAAATGGTCTTTTTATTACTATGCCACATCTTTCTTAAAAAAAGAAAGAAAGATTTACTTACTTACCTTTATTTGAAAGGCAGAATCACGGAGAGAAGAGAGAGAGAGAGAGAGAGAGCTCTTTTAGCCACCGATCCACTCCCTAAATGGTCACAACGGCCACAGTAGAGCTGATCTCAAGTTGGGAACCAGGAGCGCAGGTGCAGGGATCCAAGCTCTTGATCCACCCTTCACTACTTTCCCAGACCATACACAGAAAGCCGGGTCAGAAGTGGAGCTGCTGGGACACAAACTAGTGCCCGTATGGGCTACCAGTGCCACAGGCAGATTAGCCACTGCATCCCACTGCATTAGCCCCACCACATAGTTCTTATTAATTATCAAAGTAGCTTGAAACTAAGTTTAGTAAGTACTTCGAATTAGTGCATCTTGGGGCCAGGACTGTGGTGCATCATGTTATGCTTCTGCCTGTGATGCCAGCATCTCATATTGAAGCACCAGTTTCATGCTGCTCTGCTTCCAATCCAGTTCCCTGATAATGTACCTGGCAAAGCAGCAGAAAATGACCCGAATGCTTGGGCCCCTGCCATCCAACTGGGGAGACCAGATGGAGTTCCAGGCTCCTGGTTTTAGACTAGCCCTGCCCTGACCCTGCTTTGGCCATTGTGGACAGTTGGAAAGTAAACCAGTGGATAAATTTCTTTCTCTCTCTCTTTTTCTGTCTCTCTCCCATTTTGTCTTTCAAATAAGTAAATTAAGTCCTTACAACTGCCACCATAACAAAATATTTCACCTTTTGGCGAGAGATCAAACAGTAAGAACAGCTTGTTAATCATACAAAATATCTTCGCGTAGTAAAGTCAAGTTAGTAATTGCACGTAATGGAGAGTTGAAATTGCAGCATACATGATTTGCAAAACATCTATTCTGGTCCCAAATTAGCAAATGCATTGTCATCTCGTCTTTCCTATTGGCTCTCTTGTTTACCACTGCGTTCTCCAGAGACTTATTTTAATCCGTTTCTTCAAATAGATATTAATAAACTTCAGAATTTCCTCTGTGCCCTTCACTTCCACAGAAGCAAAACAAGTTTGTTTTCTTCTAGTGTAATTGACTTATTTTTCCATGATTCTAGTTGGCTTTCATGGATTGCATGTGAAGTGCAGAATGCTTGCAGATGTACAAATTAGCCATTTGGATCACATCCATTTTTCTCTAGGACTACTCTGATTGCAAAATTAATTGAATCATTCTGCAGGGTTTTAGAGTGGAATTAGCAGCTGAACCATGGCCAAGGGAGGCCGAGCTGTGACAAGGGAGGGTTGAGAGTTTCAGGGCTGAGGCGGGCATGGGCGAAGCTGTGTGCCCACCTCCCTGTTGATGAAGGAAGCCAAGTGTCACAACAGTGACAACATCATAGAAGAGAAGCAGAGCTGTTGGATAACCATGTGCAGATTCTGTTTATCCAAGCCACTGCTTTTCTCCTTGGTGTTTCAGGAGTTCTGGCCCTGGCAGGAAAAAAAAAATGATGTCCAAGGCTCCTGCAGTCATGTCCTCTTCGTTGCTGAGTGGAAGAGTGGCTGACTCAGAACTCAGCTTCCCCTGGAAGGGCTTGCTCAGTGCCCAGTCAAGGCCAAACCCTCAAATCCCCCTCCCCACAAACAAATCCCACAGCTTCCAGCCCAAACCACCTGCTCAAGACTCTGCACAGATCTCTCCCCAATGCCAGGGTAGCCGCCCCAGGAGTCTTCTGGGTGTTCTTTAAGCACCCTGAGCCCCCAGAAGACCCTACTGCCGATCAACAGGAAGCCAGGAAAGAGAAACAGCATGCAAGGCTGGCTTTCTGAGAGCAGGGAGGCAGCTTCTGCATGAGGCCAGCACTGAAGACCAGGAGATAAAGAAAGCCGAGTGGTCCTAGTCTGTTTCGTGGTGCAGTACAGTTCTTGCTCCATCACTCAGCTGTAAGTGTTCCCCAGCAGAACACGGTGAGCAGTGTCCGGACGGCTCGAAGGGGCGCTATGCTCCTACCACTCACTTCACTGCATTATAAACAGCCTGGAGACATCTCTCACACTGCCCCTCAGTCTTCACATTGTGATTTCTTCCTGTGATCCCACTCCTGGAGGCAGAGGAGCCCCTGGGACCAAGCTCCATCAGGTATCCTTGGATTTACTGAAAAGTCCTGCTCTACAAGGCAAGCACCAGGCTAGATGCTTGGAATACGAAGTCGTAAAACATAGTTACTGGAAAAGTGAATTAAAGGATAAGCTTAATTTGATGCAAAAAAAAAATTAGATTTATTTTGTTGATTTGAAAGAGTTAGAGGGTTGGAGGAGAGAGGCCAGGCTGTGTTAAGCCTAAGCTAGGAGCTTTGTCTGGGTCTTTTTCATGGATTCAGGTGTCCAAGGACTTGGGCCATCCTCTATTGCTTTCCCAGGTGCATTTGCAGGGAGCTGGGTCAGAAATAGAGCAGGAGGGTGCGAACAGGCACCCATAAGGAGTACGTGATTTGCATGGGCTACATTTTGCAACCTATGCATAGTTTTGTCAGAAAATGCATTTTGGAGAATGTTTTGAACATCTTTGGTTTACAAGGAATTCAAGGTTGCTTTGCATCAAAACAAATGTACCCTTTTGTTTTTATTACCTTTTGGAGATGCAAAGAGACACAGAGAGACAGACAGAACTCCCATCAGTTCACTCTCTAAATGTCTAAAGTGGCCAGGGAAGAGCCAGGCAGGAGCCAGAGTGGCTGAAACTCTTCACATGCTGCCTCCCAAGATGCACATTAACGCAAAGCTGGAGTCAAGGCTTTGAGTCCAAGTACTCTGAGGCAGGACGTGGGTGTCTCACCAGGAGCGTATGCACTTGGCCAGATGTCCACCCCAGGCTGCAACATCTTACTGGGCCTTCTTTATGAGAATCTGGGGAGAACTCTCTCCCTCTCTGGCCATGCTGTCTTGAACCTTATCATAGCCCATGTATGAGCTACTGACCTATTGACCTCACCACTGGATTTACCACACATGTAAACTCGAGATCAACCTGGCAGGCCTCACTGCCAGCACGGCAGGCCTTACTGCCAACTGCTTCTCCCAGGCCCTCACGCCCATGCTGCACCAGGGCACAATGTCAGGCTCCAAAGACTCGCTCAACACGGCTCTAGCCTCCAGCATCAGGGAATCTTGTGTGTCCTCTCAATCCTCCATGGTGTGAGTCAAGTCAGCTTCTCATGGAAACCACTCACATGTAGGCGCACCTTGGGGTGGACATTTCACCTGACAGTTAGGACAGGTTGAAGAGGCCTGCATCTCACACCAGGACTCTTGGAGCCAATTGCTGTCTCCTGACTTCACTTCCTGCTCATGGAGATCCTGGGAGGCAGTGGTGATGGCTCATGATCATTGCATCCTTCAGGTAGACCTGGATTGAGTTCCTGGCCCCAGATTTTGGCCTCTGCATTGCTATAGTTGTTGCAGGCATTTGAAGAGTGAGCTGGGGAATGGAAGATCTCTGTGTCTCAAAAACAAATAGATAAATGAAATTTAAGAAGCACTGTCATATAACAGGTTAAGCCACTGCCTGCAGTGATCACATCCCATGGGGTGCTGGTTGAGTTCTAGCTGCTCCACTTCCAATAAGCTCCCTGCTAATGGTCTGGGAAAGCAGCAGAGGATGGCCCAGGTGCTTGGGCCCCTGCACCCACATGGGAGACCCGGATGAATTTCTTTACTCATACCTTCCCCCGGGCCCAGCCCCAGCCTTTGTGGCCGTTTAGGAGTGAACCAACAAATGGAAGGTTTATTTCTCCCTCCTCCTTTCCCTTCCCCTCCCCACCTTCTCTCTCTCTCATCCTGCCTTTCAGATAAATCTTTAAAATAAATTGAAAATAAGTCTTTTTTTTTTTTAAAGTACATTCTTCACAGAGAGCTGATTCCATCCTGACTGAGTAGCTGGTCTTTTAAGATATTGGAACTCACTCATGGTGTGGCTGACCTGCTTCGCCTGTCAGTGCAGTCCCTGTGAGCTATGCTCACACTGTCCTCCCCTTTTTTAAGCCTTGCTAACCCAAGAAGAATCCTCTCTGTGCGGCAATAACTAATGTAACTCGGTAAATCAGACTTTAATCATTCCCTTATCCATATGTCAGAGTCAGGGAAACAGGCAACAGGGAGATGCTTGAGCTTACCATCCCAGGATAGGAGGGGGCCCCTTGTGTAAGAAATACTGCAACATGATGTTTTGAGGAATATGACTTTTGGTAACTTTTCAGCATTTAATCACAACCCACTTTTCCCTTGAAAACCTGGTGGGGCTCAGTGGATAAACCTGCTTCCTGCAGTACCAGCAACCCAGTTCCTGTTTTGATTACTCCACTTGCAATCCAGTTAATGGCCTGGGGAAAGCAGTGGAAGATGGCCCAATGGTTTGGCCACTGCCACTTATGCGGGAGACATGAATGTCTCCTGATTTTGCCCAGCCCTGGCCATTGCAATCATTTGGGGAGTGAATTAATAGATGGAAGCTCTTTCTTGTAACTTTTTGAAATAAACAATTTTCAAAGTAAGATTATTTAGGAGTATGGAAAGGTTCTATGACAAGAGAGTCCGTGTGTGACTCCAATCCCTCCCCACCACCACAGTTCCTTCCTCCCACAGTGATTCCCTCTGCCTGAGCCCCTCCGCACCCAGCGACACCCATCTGGGTTCAGACTAGGGGCAAGCACTGAGCGGTTCTGGGCTTTCCTGCCAATACAATGTCTATAAAAAGACACTTAGGAAACAAGGACCAATGTTGCCATTTTGCCTTTAATGGAAAAGTACTTAGCAGTTACAGTTTTAAAAAAAGGTCTTTAATTTAGAAAAAAAACACCTCTCTCCAGCTTCTAGGCAGTCTCTGAGCTTTCAGAAATGCACAGCCACTTGAAAACTTAGTAGAGTCTTTAGAAAAATAAACTCTGAACATGTGGTTAAAAGGGGGAAAGCCCAGTCTTGTTAGCTGCACAAACGGGTTAAGAAAAAGGAGCCAGGTCCACGTTAGCTGGCTCACCCTAGTGTAGAGGCAGCCTTGACCTTGGAAGACAGGGCCTGCTTGAAGCGCCGTTTCAGGTCCTGCATGTTGGGCGAGCGCGGCCGGGGGATGACCGAAGACCTTCGCCTCTCGCTGCCGAGGCCGTGCACCTTGCTGACTTCTTTGCAGAGATGCTGAAACACCTCACAGACGTCCTCATAGTTCTCGCTGGTGGAGATTTCAAGGAATAAGCTGCCCAGCTCATTGGCCAGCTGCACGCCATCCTGCGTCTGCACCTGCCGGAGGTGATGGAGGTCCCCCTTGTTGGCCACGATGATCACTGGGGCTTTGGACTCGGGGTGCACCTTCCGGATGTGTTGGTACAGTGGCCGGATGGCCCGGTAGCTGTCACAGTCAGTGATGGAATAGACCAGCAGGAAGCCCTCTGCCCAGTGCAGACATTTGGACAGCGGGTCCACCGGTTGCTGACTGAGGTTGTCTAGCATCTAAAAGGAGAGGGGGAGGTCAAGGCAGTCCTTGGCAGGGGTCCATGCCCAAGTTCAATATCAGAGCTGCCCTTGAAGAAAGTCTTGAAAAAGAAATTACTGAGTATAGTTCCCGGTTCCTACTGGGCTCCTGCAGAAGGAGGCTTTGCCACAGGGAAAGTCTGGGTTCTCAAGCCAGCTCCCCTCCCCCCCGATTACTTTATTAACTGTAATCCATGCATTATTTTTAAATGCCCTGCTCAACAGGCAGTTTCTGGTGAGCCCTGGCTGGCTGAAGAATGATTTCAAACCCAAAGGGTTCAGTTTTTAGGAAACCAACTCCTCATAAACAAAACTCTGAAAGGGAGCCAAGATAAATATCTATTCTCCAACCCATAAAAATATTTTTAGCAGGCAACTTCTCCAGAAAGTTACAGAAACAAATTCCTTTCTTTGGGCTCTTCCACTAGCTGTTTCCTCCCCCGACAAGGGAGTAGCAATTAGTAACTTGTTAACGAAGTTACATTCCAGAATGCTGGCCAAGAATGAGAATAATGGCAATACTGCATGACTTTGGGAAGAGTCAGTAACTTCAGGGCCCTGAAAGGCCTGGCTGGGGGAGCCATGAGGGGAGGAGCAGCAGCGAGGAGACCCTCTGTCAGCAGAACCTGCGCCCCCACACACATCACCCCGCCCCAACTTGGTTCTGGAGTTGGCTTCCTGGTCCACCTCTGTAAGGAGGGACGGCACAGCCTGTCCAATGTGCAAAAAAAAAAAAAAGACCGAGCAGCCCGCGGCCATGCCAGCCTGCTCACACCGACCCTAGCATGCTGGCCCCAGCTGTGGACAGCCCACGCCTTCCCCACTCCCGCCCCTCCCCTTCCCCGACAGTGGTTCCAGCGCTGGCTGCAAGGCGCCCATCCCCGAGCGCTGCCCCGCCAGCGGCGGCAGGGGCTAGCCCTCTGCTCCCCTCCCCTCCACAAGCCTTACCTGGATGCCTCCGGGAGTGTCCTGGATCTGAAGCGACAACTGGTCCCCCTCCACATAGACCAGCCGTGAATACAGCTTGCCTGGGAAAGATGAAAGGTAAAAAAAATCGGCTGTAAGATATCGCACATTCCGGCCACACTAGAAAGCAAGGGGGCAGGCCAGCACAAAAAGCAAGGGACGCGCTAAATGATTCTAACCTGTGTTCGGTTCATAGTCGCCAATGAACCTCTTGGTGAGGAAGCGCACGATCATGGCTGGAAAGAGAATTGGAAAAATCAATCAGGGAGTTCAAAGCCCGGCACCCCCGAGGAACCCGGTGGGGCAACACTCAGCACGGCCCACCATGGTGCTTGCAGGGCCATTTGGCCACCCCACTCTGCAACAAGCGCCACCCCGGCGAGAATTCAGCAATAGATGCTCTGGGAGCCGGCGAATTGAGCCGGCATCTTCGCAGCGCGCGCTCTGAGGAGTGAATCCAGCCCCGGAGCCAAAGCTCCCGCTGCCCGCGGTACTCACCGCTCTTGCCCACGCGACTGGCGCCCAGTACAGCCAGTTTGATGTCTTTGGGCAGGAGGTAATCTGAGTTGGATTCCGGAATGGGCGCGAGCAGAAAGTGCCCGGACATGTTGGGTGGCCGCATGGAGCGTGCCCAGTGACCGAGCGCGGAGCTAACGGGCCAGCGGGCACAGGGGAACGTGCGAGGCTGTGGAGCAGCGGGGGATGGAGCAGCGGCTGGAGGAGCTGTCCAGATCCGCGGCTTTTAAAGCGCCCGGCGCGCGGGCAGGCTCCGCGCCGCCTCCAGCTCCGCCCCATCCCCGCCCGCTTCCGCTGCCCGCTGCGTGCGCCCAGCCTGGCGCGCTCTGCTGGGGAGCCGTGGGAACTGGGCCACCCGGCCGAGAACGCGCGGGGCCTCCCGTCACCCCAAGCCCCGGCGATGAACCCGAGAGCGTGGTAACAGAGGGGAGGAGGGAAGAAGAGCTATCCGCTGAATGTTTCTCCAACAATGGGAGCGTTAGATTCCTGTTGAATGTCGTCCTTATTGTTTCCAAAAGGAGCTGGCAGGGTGACATTAATCTAGGAAAATAGGAGGGAAGAAGGGAGGGGCTGGAGCCCTCGACTGATATCAGCGGGTTCACTGTGACCTTGCTCTGGGTATGTGAAGTCCACTGGGGGGCGGTAATTGTCTGCAGCTCCTGCTGGCCCGGGGCTTTGCACTGACTCATGCGTGAACACTCCGCAAGCATTCCACAGGCCGGGAGCTCGGGCTCCAGGCTCATTCTCCATCGTTAATACCCTTCAGAGCACGTGAGTCATGCATGCATTTGCTCCATTATTCAAGTGTGGGCTTCTAGTTAACGGTGGTGGAATGTAGGCTGGGAGTTGGGGAGTGGGAGGAAGACAGCCCCAAAGAAGACAAGTTCTGGGATTCCGAGAGCTCGCTGTGGCAAGGCAGAGGGCTCCATCTTCATTCTAGGGCTTCCTGCGTTCCAGCCTCAGTGGTCCTGCTGCCTACTAGACAAGCCCATGCCTGGTCACCCCATTCCAATCCAAGCACAGTGGTTTCAAACAACCCCCGCTGGAAGCCATCCACAAGTCTATAGGTCTGGGGGGAGAGCAGGGGGTGGGAATAGCGAGGCTGCTTCAAGCCAGGCTCTGCTGGTCCTCACTGAGTTCTCTGGAATAAGCTCCAAGGCTTCGGCAGGAGTGGGGAGGAATTTAGGAGATGGAAAGTTTGCTCCGTTGTGTCCTCCCGTGGGGGTGACTCCTGATCTTGCTGTAGGGTCTCATTGAGGTGGCACGCTGAGAGAGTCACACATCTCTGGTCATCTGGCAGATTGGCCTGGCCAGTTCTCATGATGGCTGGTTGTGAGCCAACTCCTTAGAGAATGAGTGGAAATGGACAAGGTCTCTAGGAAGCTCGGCTCCAGGATGGAGCACCTCAAATCTACTGCATTGTACTGGTCACAACAAGCCATGAGGCCAGCAGCAGATCCAAGCCCATATCGGAAAAATCTGAATCACATGGAATGGCAGAGGAATGGGGTCCATCTTGCAACTGTCCATGCTCATGGTTGTGTCCCCATCTATCTACCCCAGCCAGTGATCTGTGAGTCATGCTTGGCTCCAGTCACCTCTGACTTTATTGCTTAATCACCACATCTCATTCCGTCTCATGCCACTGCCTCTTGACGTTTCCTCTCCATCTCGATGGCTCTCCTCATTTCTCTGCCGAACAATCTGGACTTCAACCAGTACAGCTTGGTGTGACTCCACGGACAGCTGCATCCCTTGGAGTTGTGTTCCCTAATCATCGCTCCTTCTCCCACTCTGAAGGTACCCTTGGAGTCTTGATCCCAATCTCATGACCTTCTTCTGGAATATTTGTTTCATGCCCGTCTCCAGGATGGTCAGAGACTTGTGTCTCCATAGGTGTGCCTGGGACTTGTAAACCTTTCACAAATGATTGCCTGTATGGATAAAGACTTGTTGGATGGGTATGGGCTCCACTGTGTGAACTGGAAAGCGGGAGTCATGTTTGTGACCGTCATCTCAAAGCCTTGGTTTTGTGAAAGCTGCCCTCAGGAAAAGTATCCCAGGAATCCCGAGATGGACCACCAGAGGCCAGATGTTCTGACGTTTGACGGTTCATCAGGCCATCTCCTCTGTCAAACCGCAGTTTAACTGGAACGACTTGGAGCAGAGCCCTCTCCACCCTGGTGGAGGCATCTTTGAGACAAAGGCTGCTTGAGGGACACCTGTGAAACTGTTAGGGCCCTGGGCCCAAAAGAGGCTCCAGAATAGGGGCCGGAGCTGTTGCCTGTTTTGTCTTAGCCGCTCCTTAAATTATCTACCTATCCATCTATCTGATTTATTTATTTTTATTTGAAAGGCAGATTTACAGAGAAAGAGAGGATCTTTCACCTACTGGCCACGCAGCTGGAGCTAGGTCAAAGCCAGGAGCCCAGAGCTTCTTCCGGGTCTCCCACGTAAGTCCAGGACCCCAAGGACTTGAGCCATGTTTTGCAACTTTCCCACGTACATTGGTAGAGAGCTAGATCTGAAGTGGAGCAGCCAGGACTCGAGCCAGCACCCATACAGGATGGCGGAGCACCCATCACAGCAGAGGCTTAACTTAGTTTGCCGCAGCATTGGCCCAAGACTTATTTAAAAGGTAGAGTCACAGAGGGAGAGAGGAGGAACTCCCATGTGGTCTTCAGCGTGAGTGCCAGGGCCCCAAATGCTTGGGTCATATTCCGCTGCTTCCCCAGGCAGATGACGAGCAAGGAGCTTGATCAGGAGCAGAGTAGCTGGGGCTTGAACTGGCAGCCCCATACACAATGCCAATATTGCAGGCATTATTATATTATATTATATTATATTATATTATATTATATTATATTATATTATATTATATTATATTATATTATATTCTCACTGCATTAGACTGCCAGCCCCTGGCCTCTGCTTCTTAGATATAAGATGGCTCCTGCAGCATCAAGGCTTCATCCAGAGCTCTTCTAGGTCAGAAATAGCCCGTGCCCCATCCACCACTAACAATCTAGTATCAGTACTGGCTCTGAGGCACAGTGGGTAGAGCAACGCCTGCAGTGCCAGTATCCCATGTGGATGCTGGTTCAAGGCCTGGCTGTTCCACTTCTGATCTAGCTTCCTGCTAATGTGTTTGTGAGAGCAAAGAGGATCACCAAGTGCTTGGGTAACTTGCCACTCACATGTGTGAGCTAGAGAGAGTTCTAGACACCTGGCTTTGCCCTGGCTCAGCCCAGGCTGTTGAAGCCATTTCAGAAGTGAGCCAGTGAGTGGGGGGATGTCTTTCCCTCTCCTTCTCCATCTCCCTCTTTCTCCCTCTCCAACTCAGCCTTTCAATGAAATAAAAAACATCTTTAAAAACAAAACAGCAGTATCGACTACCCTCACTCTGCAGCCTGAGTCCTTGAGGGGAGGTGGAGGACTAATGGACAGACCTTCTTGTTTTCATTATGGAGTAAAGCAGTTCTCACAAAAACTCACTGGCCAGAATGAGAGAAGCCAGGAAAGTAATCATCCAAGTACGTAACAAAGATAACTGGGACGGCCTTGGCTAGCTTAGACAACCCTGGCTCCTGCCATTCAGAGATCAAGAAACAGGAGAGAGGATGATCGTTGACAGCAACCAAGGAGATTGCTCGTTCACATGCAGGAGTCTCCGAGGGGAAACATCTTCCTTGGCCGACCCTTGACTGTATCTCCTGATTTCATTCCTTGCTCTACATTCCCTCGTCTGGAATAAGCTCATTTGTGTTTACGGTCTTAAGCCTGTTCTCTGTCTAGTGAAAATTAGGTTCCGTTTGGAAATGACATTACACCTTTGCTCAGATCTCAAAATATTACTCTGTTCTTGGGAAAGTTCTTAGCCTCTGCATATACACAAGATAAAATGTGACCTTTTAGTGAAGACAATAAGCTGCTGAATTTAGGATTATAAATAGCCTTGCCTGAATTGTTGCTGCTTCTATTCTGCTATTTCATTGTAGATCTCTTTGTGTCCAGAGTTATGTAAAATTGTGGTGCGACCAATATAACACAGACAAGCTGAAGTGGTTTTTCCAAAGATAATAGGAATGCGTAGGCATAGATACAGATATACAAATCTGTGGGTGTTTAGAATGAGTGTGAAGGGCAGAATTTGGTAACGTGCAAATAATATCAGACTAGGGCAGTTATTAACTATTTCCTAGCCAGATTGACATTTGAATTCCAGTCTTCAGGTAAGACTTGGACTTGGGAGAAGGGTACATCTAGCAGAGGCTGACACTGCTTGTGCAAAGTGGTGAACACAGGAAGGGTGCAGCAAGCCCGGGGAGCAACCATGCACATGAAGGCATGTTGGGTGACCTTAAAGGTCGAGACCTGACTGTGGATGCCAACAAATGCCATGGAAGGGGGTGTATTGGGATGCTGTAGAGGCTGTTGAACTGTTCTGGGAGCCACTTGCTGCCACCACATCCATGGCAGAAGCTTACACAGCACCAGATATAATCATCTCTACATTGAAGGGGCTTCAACTGTTGACTTATCTCCCCTGAGCAACTCACCCTCTTCCTCCGCAGGTGGAGAATATTCCGGTCTCATTGACACCTAAGCATACCCACCTGATGTGATTTGCACACAGTCCAGTCCTGCTGGAAAAGTGTTTACATTTTTGGTGCCTCTTGCATTAGTAGCTGTGAAAGCCAACCTGTCCACTGTTCTCTACACACACTTTGGCTGTTTGCAAACAGTCACAGTGCAGACTTTGGTCACTTACTCAGTTTTCTGTATAGTTTTTCCACTTCAGCAATGAGAGCCCCGTATGCTGCCTCACTGCTGTTATTCATAACCTAGCAACTTCTCTAACAGATTCTGTGAGTCTTTTGCATAGACAAGACCAATTTTTTTTTCCCCATTAAGTGAGGCTGGGGAGGAAGAAACAGCCTACAAACACCTAGATTCCAAATAAATCAACTCCAGTTTCAAAATTTCTCTTGGGCATAAAAGGGAATAAGGCAAACCTAACTTATTTATATTCTGGCAATTTTACTGCTTGGTTTTAGTGATTGCTTATAGTCTAGCATCTTTTTTTCTCCATCCCAGTACTGAGAA